CAGCCTCACCAGCACCTAGGGCAACAGACGTACTAGCACCTAGAGCGGCAGCCTCACTGACAGGACACGGCAGCTGCACCTGTCCACTACCAGAAGCTCCCGAACGATGCACTCCAGAGCGACTACCACTACGGCCACTCCGACAGCTCAAACTAGCGTACCACTCACGCGCACGAAGCAGCTGGGGCGAAGGAGGACACGGCTGCTGCACCTGTCCACTACCAGAAGCTCCCGACCGATGCACTCCAGAGCGACTACCACTACGGCCACTCCGACAGCCCAAACTAGCGTACCACTCACGCGCACGAAGCAGCTGGGGCGAAGGAGGACACGGCTGCTGCACCTGTCCACTACCAGAAGCTCCCGACCGATGCACTCCAGAGCGACTACCACTACGGCCACTCCGACAGCTCAAACTAGCGTACCACTCACGCGCACGAAGCAGCTGGGGCGAAGGAGGACACGGCTGCTGCACCTGTCCACTACCAGAAGCTCCCGACCGATGCACTCCAGAGCGACTACCACTACGGCCACCCCGACAGCCCAAACTAGCGTACCACTCACGCGCACGAAGCAGCTGGGGCGAAGGAGGACACGGCAGCTGCACCTGTCCACTACCAGAAGCTCCCGACCGACCCACTCCAGAGCGACTACCACTACGGCCACCCCGACAGCCCCGACTAGCGTACCACTCACGCGCACGAAGCTGCTGGGGCGTGGGGGACTCACGCGCACAGCCCTGGAGCTGCATCTGGCCACGTCAGGAGCAGCAGTAGTAGCAGTAGCGGCAGTAACAGTAGTAACAGCAGGAGCAGTGGCAGTGGGAGTAGAAAAGGCAGTTGCAGCAGTACTGGGCAATGCTCACCAGTGGTCGGCGCGGCAGGCGCAAGACGGTGGCGACAGTGGAGCTGCTACAACCGCAGGGCTGAGCCGGGTCGCAGCAGGGAGCTCCGCGGCAGCTGCGGCAGGGCGAGGCTGGGCCGCGACGGCAGCTGCTCCAGGTGCCACTGGGGCGGCTGCTGCAGGTGCGGGCTGCTCCAGGGGCGGCTGCTGCAGGTGCGGGCTGTTCCAGGGGCGGCTGCTGCAGGTGCGTGCTGCTCCAGAGGGGGCTGCTGCAGTGACGGGCGGCTCCAGGGGCGGCTGCTGCAGTGGCGAGCGGCTCCAGGGGCTGCTGCTGCAGTGGCGGGCGGCTCCAGGGGCTGCTGCTGCAGTGGCGGGCGGCTCCAGGGGCTGCTGCTGCAGTGGCGGCTGCTCCAGGGGCTGCTGCTGCAGTGGCGGCTGCTCCAGGGGCGAGAGGCGGATTAGGTCAGGGCGACGCGGCGGGCAGGTGGCGACGCCGCGGGCAGGGCGACGCGGCGGGCAGGTGGCGACGCCGCGGGCAGGGCGACGCGGCGGGTAGGTGGCGACGCCGCGAGTAGGGCGACGCCGCTAGCAGGTGGCGACGCCGCGGGTAGGCGACGACGCCGCGGGCAGGCGCCGACGCCGCGGGCAGGGGACGACGCCGCGGGCAGGCGACGACGCCGCGGGCAGGCGACGACGCCGCGGGCAGGCGACGACGCCGCGGGCAGGCGACGACGCCGCGGGCAGGCGGCGACGCCGCGGGCAGGCGACGACGCCGCGGGCAGGCGACGACGCCGCGGACAGGGGCTACGTCGCGGGCAGGCAACGACGCCGCGGGAAGGCGGCGACGCCACGGGCAGGGCGACGCGGCGGGCGGCGAGAGCCTGCAGGGGCGGCGCGCGGTCGTGCAGAGGCTGCGCGCGGGCCTGACGGGTGTGCAGGGGCGGCTCTCGGGCCTGACGGGCCTGCAGCGGCGGCTCGGGGGCCTGACGGACCTGCAGGGGCAGCTCGAGAGCGCACGAGGGCGCACGAGGGCGCACGAGGGCGCACGAGGGCGCACGAGGGCGTACGAGGGCGCACGAGGGCGCACGAGGGCGCACGAGGGCGCACGAGGGCGCACGAAGGCGCACTAGCAGAGAAAGGCGCACGAGGGCGCACGAGGGCGCACGAGGGCGCACGTAAGGTAGAGCGCACGAGGGCGCACGTAAGGTAGGGCGCACGAGGGCGCACGTAAGGTAGGGCGCACGAGGGCGCGCCTAGCGGAATAGTGGGCCCATTGTAGAAAGCGGTCCTAGGTAGCAACCTAGGCTTCTGATACCATGTCAGAATCTAGAATAGAACGAGAATGGATGAACTAGCAGGAAGGTGGGTACAAGTATGAAACCCTAAGTTTGTGTACCCTCTAAGGCTAAACCCACTATAGCCTACACAATATAAACATACAATGTTTGACAGGTACATCATGTTGAAGGCGACTCCTTGTGTAAGGCCCAAAAAATTCGTTTTTGGCGGGAGCCAATCAAATGGGTTCGATCTGCACACACGAAATGTTTGAAACAGTGCTTTGCAAACCCACTCCGAAAGACACTTTCAAGCTGGGACGGGGTTCACTATTCTATATTTCGGTTTTAACAATGCATGTCTGTGGTTTTTAGAAATGAGAATCAATTCTATCATTTCCCACTCGAACGGGTACGCTCACTTGAACGGGTACGTTGACTTGAAGGTTCATTGAGTTACACTCGAACGGGTACGCTCACTTGAACTGGATTTGGTAGGTTGATCTCGTTTTTAGACTTCACAGATTGTGTTGTTTCATGTGGTAGTTGATTATTCAAAAGCTAAGCTACTGACGTCCCCCCCATGCTAGGCAGGGGATGGCGGTAGCTTAGTTTTTGGGTTGTTAACTGTCACGCATTTTATCATGTGCATGTGTATCATTCATGACATATCACATGCATTATATAGCATCATTCCATGCATTATGCATTGTATAGCATCATTTATGCATTACGCATGCATCTCTTTATCATTACACGACATCATCTAACAGTAACATATAATGCAAACAGTACAGCAAATCTACACTAAACAATTGCAAAAATATCATTTGGTTTAATGCACTATGAACAGTACCGTATTCAAAACTGCTCAACATGCATACATGTTGAGATAAGGTTTAACTTAGGAGACTAGGGTTTGGTAAGGAGAGTAGCGAGATGGAGAATTGGCCAAAGAGGAGGATTCAATATGGAGAGAAGATACATATAGGAAAGAAGGGAGGTGCACCACCTACAGGAAATAACACAAACACTACAGTAACTGCAGCAAACAGTTTATATCATAAACATAAGTTTAACACACCCCCTAAACAGTTTGCTGCAGGAACCTGTGCAAGGACCTGCAGGGGTACACCAATGCGCAGCGGAAGGAGAGGGCAAGTGAGGATGAGGAAAGAGAGAGAGGAGAGGAGGAGGTGGTCGACGGCTGAAGCTGCTAGCTCACGGGCTACTGGAGCACTGGCTCGCGGGCACTGGGGTGACAAGCTCGTACGCCTAGAGCATTCCGCTCGTACGGCTAGAGCAACGGACCCGACGGGCGACTGGAGCGACGGGCACACTGGCGACTGGAGCTGCAGGTTTCACGGTGACAAACCCCCCTGCAACCTCTCCCCCACAAACCTCCTCCCCACAACGGCCGAGACGATTGGAGGAGCATACAAACGGAGGAAGCGGCTGGAAAAAAAGGAGAAGAGGGAGGACTGGAGGAGAGGCAGTTGCGGGAGAGAAGGTGAGGAGGAGGTAGAGAGAGGGGGCTGGAGCTGCAGATGCTCTCCTATCACCCCCTCAACCACCCCCCCTCTCCCCCCGCGGCAGCAAGTAGGGAGAGAGAGGGGAGAGAGGGTGGCAGTTGAAGCTGCAGGATCCCTCTCGCCACCCCCTCATCCCCCATTTGCTGGCGCAGAAGTGCTGGCGCTGGGCGCTAGCGTCGCGCTGGCGCTGGCGCCCGCCGTTGGCGCTGGCGCCCGCCGTCGGCGCTGGCGTCGGCGCTGGCGCTGGCGCCCGCCGTCGGCGCTGGCGTCCTCGCTGGCGCTGGCGAACGCCGTTGGCGACCGTCGCTGGCGCGCTCGCCACGGCTCGCTGGCACGCTCGCCATGGGCAGAGCGCGACGGGGCGAGCGTTGCAGGACGGGGCAGCCAGCTCGCGGCGTGCTAACGGGGCGCGCTGGTACGAGGGCGAGGGGTGGGCCCATGGCGAGAAAATAAAACTAGGAGGCCTAGGAAAGGCCTGCTCTGGATACCATGTTGAGATAAGGTTTAACTTAGGAAGCTAGGGTTTGGTAAGGAGAGTAGCGAGATGGAGAATTGGCCAAAGAGGAGGATTCAATATGGAGAGAAGATACATATAGGAAAGAAGGGAGGTGCACCACCTACAGGAAATAACACAAACACTACAGTAACTGCAGCAAACAGTTTATATCATAAACATAAGTTTAACAATACAGTATGGGAAGGGTATTATTGTGGTTGACAAATTTTGTTTTTATGATTTTATAAAAAATATATAAATATGAAAATAAAATTTGGCAAAATCGATCGTAAAGGGTTGCTTCGCAACCCAAAAAAAACTCTAAATAGTGGGTTGAGTTACGAAAATAGCTCTGATACCAAGTGTTATGAGTTGTCATAAACAGGGTGTGCGGAAGACTCTATAAAGAAAACGTGATTCCAGAATGACGAGTTAATGAAGAAAGCGAGCATTTTATAGGGCGAATACGTGCTAGGCGTGGACCTCGTGATGTGCGAGGCTTGGAAGTGTCGCGATTGGTGCGGGGCGAGTCGGAATGTGGGTAGGGCTGAAGTGTAGGCCGAACCCAAATTGACCCGTATTGTTCGAGCTGTCCTAGCTAGGAGCAGCCTCTACAGTAATGAATTCTAATTCATTACATCCTGCCTGTTTTCATAACCCCGTTAGTGCAATCCTCACTCGTCCGTTCATGGCGGTCGTAACGAGTGGTTCGGGGACCCGAAAAATCCGTGCTTGATGTCCACTTCTTCCCCTGCATGCATTCCCTCAACCATATGTACCGAATGCTTCACCAACCGACCATCCTTGGGCTGTAACTGTGCTGCAATCTACCTTCCTTCCACCGTCACAGTGATGGCGCAATCCCCAACAGTTGGTCCTCCGCGCGGTGAGCACGCCGCATGATCATGGCGAGGGGACCCTCCCTAATTCCTCGCTACACGCCGCTCATGCCTTCTTATTCTCAGGATACCCTTTCAATAACCGTCTGCTCCTCATGGCGGCTAACACCCGTAGTATTCACGACGATCCCCCTAAAGCCCACGCGTCGCCGGTCATCTACTTGCGCTACTTCCTGACGTTCTTCCTCGGCGCTGCCGTCGCTCTCTTTTCCACCGCGCAGCGTTCCGACCTCAGCGCCTTGTTCACCGATCCAACCCTCCGTCTCCCGGCCTATCCGTACTCTGGTGGCGGTACCGCCACTGGTAATACTAACAGTACCGTCGACCTCTCCCCGCTCCTTCACGTGTGCTGGTGGTCCGGCGACCACGGCGGCTACACTGTCGACTCCCCGAATGCGCCGTGGCTGCTGGAGCGCGGGGAGGCGGAGGCAGAGCGGCGAGTGCCGGGGGGCGTGGTTGTGGTCGGGGAGGAGTGCGCGCGGTGCGCGGTGGGGCGGCTGTGCAGTTTCACGATAGCGGTGCAGCGGCCCGCGCACTGGGACGTGCCACGGTACTCGGCGTTTAAGGGCGAGCTGCTCGTGTCGCTGCACGGGCCCGCCCTGCTGCAGGCGCGCGTCGCGCGCATCGACAACGACCCGCGGCGCATGCTCGTGACGTACCGCGTGTGGGACGCGGGGGAGTATACGTGAGTGCGCGCGCAAGAGAGGCGGAGTGGGGAGCGAAAAGAAGTGGTAGTACTGGTGATGGGCTGATAGGGCTAAGGTACGCGACACACTCCAGTAGGTCAAGCGCCGACGCGACTCGACGATCTCGCAGACTCGACGCGTTTTCCGACGATTGACGCTGAAGCGGAACCCCAGTTCTTGATTTGTCACGAACCTACGGCGAAGTGTCGTGACGCGAGTGACACTTTTTGGAACCGTCAGCCCGCGAAGTACGTGCGCTTCGAGAGGCGAATCGAACTCTCAAAACACTCCACGCACCACTGGAATGGGTGTTTGTTTGATTTCTAATCCCGGACGCATGTCGGAAGGTCCTGGTTGGGTGTGCGGGGTTATGCGTGAGTGGTTGAGCTAGGAGAGTCGAGGTGGCGGATGGGAAGCGAGCAAAGGGGCAGACGGGCGAATCGGGCGGAGGAAACCTGCTTCCTGCGCGAACGCGAAGGCCCAGAAAGGGGTGCACCTGTTTCATTGCATGCGGCTATCTGCGGGAGTGTTTCAAAGCGAACACTCTCTCCGTCCCCTTTCCTCTTCTCTCCTCCCTCTATCCCTCCCCCGCCCCTCCTCCCCCACCTCTCCCCACCCCCTAAAATCCCTCTTTCTTCCCCCTTTCCCGCCCGCCCGCTCCCCCGCACGTGCCCGTGCAGTGTGCTGGTGCGGGACTCATGCGGCACGCTCAACTACACATCGCACCACCTACACCAAACGCACAACATCGCCAACTGGACGCTCCTCGTCGCGCCCCCCCCCCCACCGCCCTCTCCCCCCTCCCACCCACTGATGCTGCCCCCCCAGCAGTGGGTGTGGGTGGGGGGGAGGCGAGTGGGGAAGCGGCGCAGGGCGCGGGAGCGGGGGGCAGCGAGGGGCAGGGCATGGGGGGAGTGGAGAGCGTGGCGGAGCGGTGGGCGTCCCCGTGCGGGCAGGGGGACATGGGCCGGTGGCTGCTCAACGGCAGTGACTACAGGTGGGGCGCATGCATGTGCGTGCGTGGGGGAAACAAGGGGGCAGGGCGTGGCGATTGGTGGTTCGTGAGCGGGGCTGGTTGTGATGCAAGGGGGTGGGGGGGGTTCATGCAGCGGAAGGATGTGGTGGGAGGTGTGGATGGATGGGCCACATCCGATGGCTGCTGGGATGGGATGGAAGAAACATTTGCTGCTGTGGTGTCATGGAGTGGAGTGGGGTGCGCCCGCTATGCACTACTATCACGCCATGCCATTGCTCCCCTGCCAGTGTCATGCCCCCCGCCTCGCCTCTTCACCCACTCTCCCCGCCTAATATTCTCCCTCAAAATCTCCGTTCTTGAATTCATCCCCCCAGCCCCAAAAACGTTGACCCCTCCGTCTTTCTCTCCGTCCCACCCACCCACCACTTCCACACCAACCCCTCCCTCTTTCCCCCTTCCCTATCCCTGTACCAGGTGGGTGTCGTACCCATGTGCGCCGCCCATCCCACCCCCCTCGCAGTGGGTGTCCACCCTTGTGGCGCGGGGCTTCCGCGAGCTGAGCTTTGTGGGCGACAGCCACCAGCGCTTTCTCTTCCTGCACCTGCTCTTCCTGCTCTCGCACCACGTCAACACCTCCTTCGTCAAGAGCCACGTGGATTTCAGCTACCTGGTGGGCAGCGCAGGCCACGTGCGCATGCTGCAGGGCGGCCCCGAGGAGAGGGTGAGCGAGGAGGAGCGCGCTAGCATGCCGCTGAAGCTCAACTTCTACTGGGTGGATGGCATCTACGAGAACGACCACTACGGCTGCACGTACGTTATGTGCTGCTGCCACCCCCGTTGCTCTGTGCTTGAACCATTGATTGATCCCTTTCACCTGCGCTCGCCCGGGAATAGTCATGCCGATATGTCAAACTTGCTTGCACTCTTTGCAATGCACCATGTGTCAGTTCTGTCTATTTGCACCCCAAACCTCATCTTGATCTTCCAAGCCCACAAATCCTTTGAAGCCCTTGTGCTTTAATCCACACCACCCACAAATCCTCCCTGGTGGCACTTTTCCCCCTTTCCCCCCCGGCCAACCCCCACCCAACACCACCTCATGCCACAGCAACCGGGGGCGCTTCTCAGAGCGGGAGCACAGCTTCCCAGCCATCTCCACCACGGCGGACGTGACCATCTTCAACGGGGGCTTCTGGACCGCCGCCTTCTGTGAGCACGCGGAGCGCGCCCTGAGCGTGTACCTGCCGCCCTACCTCGAGTGGGCCTTCTTCCAGCTCGAGCACGCACAGAACCAGCGGGCAAGGTGGCGCGCTCAGCGCAAGCAGCAGAGGGAGAGCAGCGCGGGGAAGGCGGGGGAGGAGGAGGCGGATAGCGGGGGGCCGTGGCTAGTGTACCGGAGTATTCCCCCGCTGCGCACGCAGTACCGATGCAACCAGGGCACGAACGCACAGGTGGCGCACATGAACGAGGTGGTGCAGGGGCAGCTGGAGCGGTACGGGTTCTGGTGGCTCAACATGTGGCCTGTGGAGCTGCCTCGGTTCTCAGACACATGCAACGGGAACGACCCGCACTTCACGTGCTTCACACCCGCTGAGAACCCTAATGGCGATGGGGTGCTCACAGGGCCCGTTGGGGAGGCTGCTGTGTACAGGACTGTACAGTTTATTCTTCATGAACTCGTTAGATAGCAGCACGATCTTCGACAGTTTATTCTTTTTCCAGCCTGGCAGGCTGGATAACCCTCTCGGCTATGCCTACTAATTATTCAGATTCAGAGTTGTTAGAATGGGGATTTTGGATAGGATAGATGTGCCTTACGCTTAGGAACCTTCTGCATATTGAATGTAGATGACAAGATTGATTTAAGGAAACAGTTACACACAATAGATAAACATACCGTAATGTCAAAATCCTAGCCACCAACCACTAAGATATTTGTGTGGCGAGTGTGTAATGAATATACAATTCATTACTATAGAGGCTGCTCCTAGCGAGGATAGCCCGAGCACTTCGAGTCAGGATGGCTCGGCCTACACTTTCGCACCGAACCTGTTAGAAACTAGTGACAGGAATGGATGAACTAGCAGCATGACGCGTACAAGTACCGTAAAGTGCCACCTATAGGACCCGGGGGACTCTCTACAAATGCTTGAAAAAGTGCTAGGGGGACCCTCTGGCGGTTGCAAATTTTTAAGACCCGGGGTACACTTATTTATCAACTATCATTCTGTTCTTTAGGGTGTACGGCTTAATTCGGGGCAGGAGGGTCTTATATTCGAAACGAAAAACGGCATTCGTGGGCGCATTTCGCGCGAGCGGCGCGTCAGATCTGTGTCAGAATTCAAGTCTGACACAAAGTGTCAGAATTCAGGTCTGACACAAAAAATCGTGTCAGAATTCAAGTTTCTGTCAATAAAAGCTGACTCACAATAGCAATTACAACTACTGTATACAGAAAAGGGGGGTCTTATGATGATTAGGGGCAGAAGGGGGGGTCCTCACAAATCCTGCCCAAATAAGAGTCCCTCTGCTCCTTCAAGAGTCCCGGGGACCCTCTTACCGGCGGGTCCTATAGGTGGCTCTTTACGGGTAATCAGGCTCTAATATTGATGTGGAAGCAGATAGCGCAGCGGTAGAGACTTTTGTGGGAGCGCGGAAGGCGTGGGTTCAATATTTGAGGGGGGCAACTCAGAGTTGGAAAGATTAGTACATTGACTATCCAGAGTAGTTTTTTCAGAAGTTCAGTTTTCTCTGACAAATCAGAGTAACGCTCATGATCCCCCTTGATTTTCAGAGTTCCCAAAAAAACAGCTCTGGAAATCCGAGTAGTGAAAATCCAAAAAAACGCCCTGGCCACAACGCTAGTTCACATGCAGATATATATATATATATATACAGTGATCACTACCAAGCAAGAGCAAGCATACAGGAATATATATATATATATATATATATAGATCACAGTACAGGCAAGTCTACAGCAAGTGCGGAAACGTAGGCACAAGGCCTAACAAAGTACAGAAGCGCTGATGATCACCAGACGGAAGTGCCTTGGTGAAGATATCAGCAGTGTTGGCCCGAGTGGCCACGTGAGCAAGACGAAGCTGACCTCGCTGCTGCAACTCTCGAGCCAGGAAGTAACGCAGAGCAATGTGCTTCGTTCTGTGCTCCAGTCTGTGCTCCTCACACAAGGCAATGGCAGCCTTGTTGTCGACGTACAGAACTGAAGGAGAACGAGGCCACTCTCCCAAGTCGGTCAGCAGGTAGGTGAGCCAGCGTAACTCCTGCGCAGCCATGGCTGTGGCGTAGATCTCAGCCTCACAACTGGAGCTGAGAACAGAAGACGAGCGAGTAGAACGCCAAGAAACAGAGCCAGAGCCAAGACTGAAGGTGTAACCCTGTGACGACCGCTGCGTAGCCTGGTCGTCAACCCAAGATGCGTCAGAGTGTCCAGTGAGGACAACGTCGCTCCGTCCTCCAAGCACTAGCCCCATGCCCGATGTACTGCACAAGTAGCGCAGTACCCTCTTTGCAGCATCCATGTGCACCTTTCGGTGCCGACCATGAGCCACGTAGCGAGCCAACAGGCCAAGAGGGTACGCAAGGTCAGGTCGAGTGCAAGTCATCAGGTATATGAGGCAGCCCACTAGCTCGGCGTAAGGACCAGTCGGCTCTACGGACTCGTCCGAAGGTGGAGCTGAGAGCGAGTGACCTGTAGCCAGCGGAGTGGATTGTGGCGAGGACCAGGTGAAGCCGAAACGCTGAAGGACCTGCTGCACCATGTGTGACTGAGTTAGTGTGATGGTGCGGCGTGCTCTGTCCCGGGTGATCTGCAAGCCAAGGTAGCTGCGCAGCTCACCCAGGTCAGTGCACGTGTGTCTCTTCTACAGCTCCAACTTCACCAAAGCGAGAGCCTCAGTGTCCGCAGTGGCAAAGACCAAGTCGTCGACGTACACGAGGATGTAGAGCGGCGGCAGGGAAGTGTCGGTACATTGAAATAGCGACGGGTCAGCAGTCGAAGGAGCGAACCCAAGAGCCGCAAGTGTAGTCCTCAGTGTGTTGTGCCACTCACGAGGCGCCTGGCGGAGACCGTAGACTGGCCGCCGGAGGCTCCACTAAGTACCAGGAGGGAACGACCCAGTGAAGCCAGGTGGGCGGCGCAGCCAGATCTTCTCGTGCAGGCTGCCCTGTAAGAAGGCTGTGCTGAAGTCAAGAGAGTGAAGCTCGTAGTCACGCTGAGCGGCAACGTGCAGCAGCACCCGAAGAGTGGTAATCTTCGGGGTAGGGGAGAAGGCCTGGAAGAAGTTCACTCCCTCACGCTGACTGAAGCCTCTGGCAACGTATCGAGCCTTGAAGACATGTAGTGTACCCGGCGGCCGCTTCACCCTGAAAATCCACATGCCATCGACGATGTTCGCCCCAGGAGGGGGAACCTCATCGACGTAAGTGCCTGTGGACTTTCAGGATGCCATTTCTGCGTCCATGGCTGTCTGCCACTGAGAGGAGTACTCACCCGCGATCGCCTCAGCGTAAGAGTGCGGGGTCGGGATGTCTGGTGCATCCGGGTCTCCCTCAGGGGCAAGCAGCATGGCCATGAGATGAGGCGCAGTAGCCGCAAGGTACTCAAGGTCCTCGTGCCTGTCCTCAAGAACGTCCGTGCCAAGAGCACACTCACCCCCAACGGACGGAGGACAGACAGACTCAGATTCAGCAACAAGACTGGCAGCGTAGTCTAGACGACAGGCAGCAGCAAAGTCAACAAGCTCAGCAACCAAGGCAGACGCAGCAGCAGACTCAAACGACGGGTCAGTGACAACAGTGGCTAACAGACGCGTGACAGTAGGGTGTGCAGCACAAAACCGGTCAGACGCAGGGTCCGGAACGTCAGGCATGGAGGACGCAGGGGGGAACGGCAGAGGAACAGGCTGCGAAGAAAAAGAGGGATGACGGACTACGAGGTGTGCGCCGGGGACAGCCGGCTGACGCGGACGAGGAACACGACGACCAGAACGAACAGGCGAGACAGGACGCGACACAGGCTCACGACGCTCAGCAAGACCCCCTCTTTGCTCAGTGTAAGGAGAAGGAGCAGGCAGCGGCGAGTCAGGCAGTAACGGTTGACCAGTAGAAGACGGAAGACTAAGAACCTGGCGAAGCACAGAGTCAGGCGGTGGCTGAGACGACGGAGACGGCGGAGCGAAGAACAGTCGCGTCGGTGCAGTGCTACCAGCACCAGCAACTCCAGCACCTCCCGAAGCTCCAGCACCTCCAACAGCCCTAGTACCCCCAGCAGCGCCAGAACCTCCAGCGCCAGCTCCACCAGCAGCAGTACCCCCCAGAACTGGGACCTCCTGTCCCAGGGTCGCCAGCCCTAGTGTCTCTAGTAGCAACACCCCCAGACGCAGCACCTCCAGCCCCAGCAGCTCCAGTACCTCCAGTACGAGCACCTCCGGAACCAGCGACTCCAGCACCTCCAGTAGACAAAGCACCAGCACCATTCCGAGCTCCAGTAACGTTAGCAGAAGTACCTCCAGGCACAGTACCTCCAGTCTCCTCACGCACAGGCTCAGCACCTCCAGGCTCAGCACCTCCAGCAGGCAAAGAACCAGCACCACTCCCAGCTCCAGGGACGGCAGCAGAAGTACCTCCAGCGGCCGAACCCCGAGCTCCAGAAGCGCGACCCTGACGGCGACCGTACCAGTCGTGCAGCTGCTGTGAGGTGAGAGGCACACGCGGACGAAGGCGGCTACTCCAAGGAGACCGCGCAGCAGCAGACTCAGAAACCTCAACGCCAGCACCTCCAACAGCCCAAGAACCTCCAGCGCCAGCGCCCTCAGCAACTCCAGAACCCCCTGAGTCAGTACCCTCAGCAGCTCCAGAACCTCCAGCTCCAGCGCCACCAGCACCAGGACCTCCAGCAGCGCCAGAACCTCTAGTAAAAACAGCTCTAGGAGCAGAGTCACCAGCTCTAGCAGCGCGACCCAGATGGCCAAGGTACCACTCAACCAGCTGCAGGGAGGAGAGGGGGAGTCGACGACGAGAGGGCAGCGGCGAGGCACCAGCGGAGCGACTACGGAGACGGCCGCTCCAGGGAGACTGCTCACCAGACGCCTCAGCACCCCCAGGTGCAGCACCCCCAGACTCAGTCCTGCCAGGCTCAGCACCCCCAGACCCCTCACACTCAGGCTCAGCACCTCCAGGCTCCACACCCTCAAGCTCCGCACCCCCAGGCTCAGTACCCCCAGGCTCAGCACCCCCAGGCCCCTCATCCCCAGGCTCAGCACCCCCAGAAGTAGTACCCCGAGCAGGACCACCCTCAGCAGGACCTGAGTCACCAATGACCTCAACCGGCGCAGTCAAGGGGGGTGGGTCTACCTGAGACACACCTGAAGGAGCAGGACCGGGAGCGGGGAGGGGGTCTACCTGGGGAGCACCTGGAGCGAGGAAGAGCGGCGGGGGGGGGGGGGGGGGGAGCGGGGCAGTGCGGTAGGGGAAGAGATGGTAAAAGGGAACCGACTCGTCAAACGTGACATCCTGAGACGCAAAGACACGGCGCGAGGTGGGGTGGTAAAACTGCCAACCAGGCGCGTCAGGGACAAAGCCAAGGAAGACACAGGGAACAGCGCGGGCGGAGAGCTTGTCCGCGGTGGTATCGCGGACAAAGGCACGGGCACCCCAGACCCGGAAA